GGATATAGAAATAGGCTCCGTCCGTCTGTCCGTCCGTCTGTCCGTCCGTCACACTTTCGTGTCCGGTCCATAACTTTGTCATTTATGAAAGGAATTTGAAATAACTTGGCACAAATGTTTATTATAATAAGACGATGTGTCATGCGCAACAACCAGACCCCTACCTCCAGGGTCAAGGTCACACTTGCTCATTCAAGGTCAAAATTGCCTATTTGAGGGTATATGTCGTGTCCGGTCCATAACTTTCTTATCTATGAAGGGATTTTGTAAATACTTGCCATAATTGTTCACAATAATCAGACAATGTGTCATGCGCAAAAACCAGTAACCTACCTTCAAGGTCAAGGTCACCCTTGGAGGTCAAATATTAACATAGTCTGTTACAGGGTATATTTCGTGTCCGGTCCATAACTTTCTTATCTATGAAGGGATTTTGTAAATACTTGCCATAATTGTTCACAATTATCAGACGATGTGTCATGCGGAAAAAGCAGTCACCTACCTTCAAGGTCAAGGTCACACTTGGAGGTCAAATATTAACATAGTCTGTTACAGGGTATATTTCGTGTCCGGTCCATAACTTTCTTATCTATGAAGGGTTTTTGTAAATACTTGCCATAATTGTTCATAATAATCAGACGATGTGTCATGCGCAAAAACCAGTTGCCTACCTTCAACGTCAAGGTCACACTTGGAGGTCAAATATTAACATAGATTGTTACAGGGTATATTTCGTGTCCAGTCCATAACTTTGTCATTTATCAAAGGAATCTGAGATAACTTGGCACAAATGTTTGTTATAATAAGACGATGTGTCATGCGCAACAACCAGACCCGTACCTTCAGGGTCAAGGTCGTACTTGTTCATTCAAGGGCAACATTGTCTATTTGAGGGTATATGTCGTGTCCAGTCCATAACTTTCTTATCTATGAAGGACTTTTGTAAATACTTGCCATAATTGTTAACAATAATCAGATGATGTGTCATGCGCAAAAACCGGTCACCTACCTCCAAGGTCAAGGTCACACTTGGAGGTCAAATACTTACATAGTCTGTTACAGGGTATATTTTGTGTCAGGTCTATAATTTTTTCATAGATCAAAGGATTGTGAAAATACTTCGCACAAATAGTCACTATAATAAGAGGATGTGTCATGCGCAACACCTGCATCCCTACCTCCAAGGTCAAGGTCACACTTAGAGGTCAAAAATTAACATAGTCTGTTATAGGGTATATTTTGTGTTGAATCTAGAACTTCTTCATAGTTCAAGGGATTTTGAAATAACTTGGCACAAATAGTCACAATAATAAGACGTTATGTCATGCACAACACCTGCTCCCCTACCTCCAAGGTCAAGTTCACACTTAGAGGTCAAAGCTTAACATGATAGATTTTTAAATTCCGTGTTTCATTTTATTTTTTTAACAAATTTATTGTTACATTTGCAGATCTAGCATTGATCATAATTTTGGACTGAATGTCCTGAGATCCATACCTCAATCTTTTGAAATAGCAAAATTTTATGCTTCATATAAAACTCCCGGGGCGGGGGACGTTGGTAACTCTGTTGCAAATTCTTGTTCCCCCTGAAACTGAAGTTATTGTAGAAGGGAAACCGTTGGACAGCTTGAGTCGAGATAGGGATTGTTTGATAGAACCAAATTTAAGTTTTGTTGAAAAATCAGGGTTGTTAGTAGCAAAATCTTTAATTAGTCCAAAAAATGGCCATTTTCCTATGAGAATTGCAAATTTCAATAGTGAACCTTATACTATTTATGAAAATACAGTAACTGCTGTATTAGAACCTGTAACTGTAAACGAGCCTGTATCTGTGAGAAATGTTAGCACTAATGTATCCAAGGTGGCAGCAAGTAGTACAACTCTGCCTGAGCATTTAAAAAGTGTTTATGATAGGTCTTCTGTGCATCTCGATAATATACAAATAGGAAAGTTAAAACAGTTTCTTATAAAGAATCAAGATGTGTTTTCACAAAATGATAGAGACATTGGTCATACTGACTTAGTTACACATAAAATAGACACTGGTAATCATGAAACCTGTAAAAACCTATCCTTATCGTGTCCCACTAGCAAACGTAAAGCAGCAGAAGCTGAAATCAAGAAAAATGGTTGAGGACGGGATAATAGAACCTGCATGTTCCCCATAGCTATCCCCAATTCTTATGGTAACAAAACCAGATGGCAGTATCAGGTTTTGCTGTGATTTTCGAAAACTTAACCGTTGCACTGCAAAAGAATATCAACCTCTGCCTAGAATAGAAGATAATTTAGATGCATTATCATCTGCAAAATGGTTCTCCGTCTGTGACCTAAAATCGGGTTTTTGGCAGATTGATATTGATAAAGAAAGTAGACATAAAACAGCATTTAGCTTGCAAGGTGGTCAGCAATGGCAGTTTCGTAAATTAGCCTTTGGTCTTTCTAATAGTCCTAATGTCTTCACCAGGCTCATGCAAATGGTATTCAAAGGTCTTATTTGGAATACTTTAGTATTGTATTTAGATGACATTATTGTCTTTGCACAAACTTTTGATCAAGCCCTGGTATGTTTACAAGAAGTTATGGACAGGTTAAGACAAGCTGGCTTAAAGTTTCATCCAAAAAAGGGTCATCTCTTTCAAAAACAGGTTACATTCTTAGGTCACGTTATAAGTGAAGATGGCATTTCAACATGTCCTGATAAAGTTAAAAGTGTGCAAGATTGGCCAAGACCAAGAAACATGTAAGGAGGTTAAAAGCTTTACCTCTTTAGTCTCATTTTTACAGGAAGTTTATTCCTAGGTTCTCAACTATTGCAAAACCTTTGCATGCACTATCAGAAAGGGTCACAAGTTTGTGTGGACCACAGAATGTGAAACAGGCCTTTGTTACCTTGAAAGCTGCTTTGACCAGTAGTCCTATATTAGCTTTCCCTACTTCAGATGATTATTTTATAGTTGACGCTGATGCGAGTAATTTCGCGTATGGCAGAGTCTTGTCACAAATACAAAATGGCCAGGAAAAGGTTATAGCGTATTACTCCAACTGCTTTACTAGATCAAACACGAGGATAGGATATGTACTACACGTAAAAAGAACTTTTTAGTGCAATATCAAACAGAAAACACTTTCATCATTACTTATATGGTCGAAAGTTTACCATCACAACTGATCATGCCAGTTTAAAATGGTTAACTAATTTCAAAAATCTAGAGGTCAACTATGTAGGTGGATAAATATTCTAGAAAATTAATGATTATGAAATTGTACATAGACCTGGTAGGGTTCATAACAATGCTGATGCACTTAGTAGGAGACCATGTTATGATGAGAACTGTTACATTGTGAATAGAGTAGAAAGCAGATATGATAATTTAACAGTTGCTAGAGTAGCACTTAAACATGATAAAAAGTTAAAACAACCTGTAGATCAAATATGGTTAAAATCAAACCAGAAGTTTGTACAAGTAGAACAAATATTAATGTGATAAACGAACCGTTGACAAAATTTAATGACAAGTCAGATTATGTGTGCCATGAACTACCTTTTCTTTCTGTATTAGTTATTCTTGGACTTATTGCAATGAAAGTACCTTTAGTACTAGTGTTGTTTATACTGTATATTTTTTTCAAATTGTGTAATAGGACAACTTTTGTGTCCACAGAGAAAATTAATTATTCCTGTAGAAAAATTGTGTGAATGAAAGTAAAACTGTAGTTGCTAACCAAGTAAAGAGGTCTTACGATATCTGTGTTTAGTAACGCTTTGCAACAATAATGAAATGTCTAGTCAAGATGTGATAGTTGATAGAAAATTGGGTAATAATTTAGCATCGGTCCAGAGTAGTGACTGTAGTGTGAAATACCAATCTTCTACTGGGGTTAGTGATAATACAACTGACATGAAGATTGGGTCAAAATCAAGTAAAACAATGTAATAATTTAAATTCTAAAGAGGTCAGATCATTATCTGACAAGAATATTAAAGATACAGAGTGTTTACCTGGTCCATCAAATAGGGATAGTAGAACAGATAACCATACAAAATATAAGCTCAGACAAAGACTTGACTGGAAAACAAGTTGATAGCAAACCAAGTAGTATTAACTATTAGTACAGGATGTGAGGTAGGAGTACAAAAATGAGATAGATGTAGAAATTTAAACTTAGAGTATGTAGCTGAATTGCAGAAGTCAGACCCTATTATCAAACCATGTTTTGAGCTGGTTTAAAGTAAACGAGAAACCAGACTGGAATAGTGTTTCTGAACATAGTGTAGAATTAAAATTTCTGGTATAGATGGAATCTTTAGTTATCAAAGAAGATATTTTGTATAGAAAGTGGGAGAGTGATGATGGAAATACAGTTGATTTACAACTAGTTTTACCTAAATGTCTTACTAAGTATGTTTTGACACAGTTACATGATACTGTGACAAGTGGTCATTTAGGGATTAAGAAAACTTTGAGAAAGGTCAGACAAAGATGTTATTGGTATAATCAAAGAAAAGATGTTTAAATGTGGTGTAAAAAATGTTTAGTATGTGCTTCTAGAAAAATGCCCCCTAAGAAATTTAAAGCTCCTATGAAAAAATTTAATTCTGGTGAAAGATGGGAGAGAAATGCAATAGATTTTGTAGGTCCATTAGGTAAAACAGAAAATGACAACCGATATTTGATGGTTGTTTCTGATTATTTCACTAAATGGACAGAGGCTATTCCCCTTCAAAATATTGAAACTGTTACAGCTGCAAATGCCCTTGTTGAACACATTATTTCAAGATTTGGTGTTCCCATCTCAATTCATACAGATCAGGGTTCCCAATTTGAATCAAAAGTTATTTCAAGAACTTTGTAAGTTATTAGGAATTCAAAAGACCCGAAATACTCCATTCCGTCCCAAGGTGGAGGTTTTATAGAAAGAGCAAACAGAAGTATCCTCAATATGCTAACTGCTTTTGTGTCTGAACATAGAAATGACTGGGACAAATTTGTACCTTTTGTTTGATGGCATATCGTTCGTCTGTGCACGAGTCAACTGGTGTCACACCAACAACCATGATGTTTGGCTCTGAAATTCGACTTCCAATTGATTTAGTCTTTGGCAAACCTGAAATAGATCGAACTGAAACAAAACCAAAATATGGATTAGATTATGTAGCTCAACTTGAGTCTAGGCTAGCTCAAGTTCATGAATTTGCTCGAACGAGGCTTTCACTTTCTAGTGATGCCATGAAAAAGAAATATGATCTTAGTAGTCATCAAATACAGTATTTCGAGGGTGACCGTGTCTGGTATTACAATCAATCCTCAGAGAAAAGTTGGTCGCAGTGGTAAACTTACACGACCATGGAAAGGTCCTTATGTAATAGTAACTAAAATAAGTGACATCCTGTTCCGCATTCAGGGTGGTTCTAGAGAGAAACCGCGTGTTGTGCATAAGGATAAATTGAAGCCTTATGACAGCTAATAATAAGTTTAGAGCACAATGTAATAATGATATACCTACTGTGATATCTTGTGTTTCCACAAACAAATCAGGTTCTCACTAATCTGTAAATATATAAATATATAACAAACATGGTATACATGAAGCTAAAACATTTTTTTTAATAACTAAAATTGTTGTATTTGTCTTCAGAAACGGTTTACATGTCGTACATGTGGAGACATGCACTTTACTACTAAGGGTAAATGTAGAGCACACCTAATTGAACAGCACTCAAAGATAAACTTTAAATGCACAAGGTGTGGTAAAGTGTTTTTGAGAAACACACCAGGCCAGGCTTGTCATACCAGAAGGGAAGATTTCATTAGATTTCATACTACGACTGGCCAACATGGGGCTGAGGCCGAAGCCTGTCTTCAAGAGTTTATTAAAAATATAGATAATTTAATTATTGATAATAGATACAACAAAGAGAATCATTCACCAACAAAAAGAATTGCAATAAGACCACAATTATACATTAGAAAAAGAAACAAGAGGGCCATGATGGCCCTGGATCGCTCACCTGACACAACCGCATCCAAGCAATGTCTTAAACAAGCATCATGACCAAGTTTGATGACAACTGAGTCAAACATGTGACCTCTAGTGTGTTATAAAGATTTTTCCATATTTGGGCAATGTGACCTAATTTTTGACCGGACGCAACCCATATTCAAACTTGATCTAGAAATCATCAAAACAACCTTCCTGACCAATTTCCAGGAAATTTGGATCAAAACTGCAGCCACTAGAGTGTTAAATTTTTTTTTCTATTTTTAGCTCCTGTGACCTAGTTTTTGACCGGACATGACCAATCTTAGCACTTGACCCAGAAAACATCACAACAACATTCTTGACAAATTTCCAGAATATTTGAATCAAAACTGCAGCCACAAGAGTGTAAACAAGCTTTTTCTATTTTTAGCTCCTGTGACCTAGTTTTTGACCTGAGATGATCCATCTTCGATCTTGACCCAGAAATCATCAAAACAACCTTCCTGACAAATTTCCAGAATATTTGAATCAATACTGCAGCCACTAGAGTGTTAACAAGCTTTTTCTATTTTTAGCTCCTGTGACCTAGTTTTTGACCGGAGATAGCCCATCTTTGAACTTGACCTAGAAATCATCAAAACAACCTTCCTGATAAATTTCCAGAATATTTGGATGAAAACTGCAGCCCCTAATGTGTTATTAAAACAAGCTTTTCTATTTTTAGCTCCTGTGACCTAGTTTTTAACCGGAGATGACCCATCTTCCAACTTGACTTAGATATCATCAAAACAACCTTCTTGACAAATTTCCAGAATATTTAGATGAAACTGCAGCCATCAGAAATCATCAAAACAACCTTTCTGACAAATTTCCAGAATGTTTGGATGAAAACTGCAACCATTAGAGTGTTAACAAGCTTTTTCTATTTTTAGCTCCTGTGACCTAGTTTTTGACCAGACATGACCCATCTTCGAACTTGACCTAGAAATCATTAAAACAACCTTCCTGACAAATTTCCAGAATATTTTGATCAAAACTGCAGCCACTAGAGTGTTAACAAGCTTTTTCTATTTTTAGCTCCTGTGACCTAGTTTTTGACCGGAGATAATCCATCTTCGAACTTGATTTAGAAATCATCAAAACAACCTTCCTGACAAATTTCCAAAATATTTGGATGAAAACTGCAGCCCCAAGGGTGTTAACAAGCTTTTTCTATTTTATAGTTCCTGTGACCTAGTTTTTGACCGGACATGACTCATCTTCGAACTTGACATAGATATCATCAAAACAACCTTCCTGACAAATTTCTAGAATATTTGGATGAAAACTGCAGCCACTAGGGTGTTAACAAGCTTTTTCTATTTTTAGCTCCTGTGACCTAGTTTTTGACTGGAGATGACCCATCTTCGAACTTGACCTAGACATCATCTAAGCAACCTTCCTTACAAATTACCAGAATATTTGGATGAAAACTGCAGCCCCTAGAGTGTTAACAAGCTTTTTCTATTTTTAGCTCCTGTGACCTAGCTTTTGACCGGAGATGACCCATCTTCGAACTTGACCTAGATATCATCAAAAAAACCTTCCTGACAAATTTCCAGAATATTTGGATGAAAACTGCAGCCCCTAGAGTGTTAACAAGCTTTTTCTATTTTTAGCTCCTGTGACCTAGTGTTTGACCTGAGATGACCCATCTTCGAACTTGACCTAGAAATCATCAAAACAACTTTCCTGACAAATTTCCAGAATATTTGGATGAAAACTGCAGGCACTAGAGTGTTAACAAGCTTTTTCTATTTTTAGCTCCTGTGACCTAGTTTTGACCGGAGATGACCCATCTTCGAACTTGACCTAGATATCATTAAAACAACCTTCCTGACAAATTTCCAGAATATTTGGATGAAAACTGCAGCCTCTAGAGTGTTAACAAGCTTATTCTATATTTAGCTCCTGTGACCTAGTTTTTGACCCGAGATAACCCATCTTCGAACTCGATCTGTATTTCATTGAGACAAACATTCTGACAAAGTTTGATGATGATCCAATCAAAACTGTGACTGCTAGACTGTTAACAACCCAATTGTTAGAGTGTTAACAAGCTTTTTCTATTTTTAGCACCTGTGACCTAGTTTTTGACCGGAGATGACCCATCTTCGAACTTGACCTAGATATCATTAAAACAACCTTCCTGACAAATTTCCAGAATATTTGGATGAAAACTGCAGCCTCTAGAGTGTTAACAAGCTTTTTCTATTTTTAGCTCCTGTGACCTAGTTTTTGACCTGAGATAACCCATCTTCGAACTCGATCTGTATTTCATTGAGGCAAACATTCTGACAAAGTTTGATGATGATCCAATCAAAACTGTGACTGCTAGATTGTTAACAACCCAATTGTTGACGAAGCACGACGCACAACGCCGGACGCCGGACATAGCCCCATCACTATACCTCACCTTGTCCACTTCGTGGTCAGGTGAGCTCAAAATAACTTTGTAACACCAAATCAAAAAAGAATAAGAAGCAAATCACCATCGTCATCAAGGTCGTCATCATCATCTTCTACAACATCAACAACAACATCTTCGTCATCATCAACATCTACGTCATCTTCCACACCCTCGTCTGAAATAGAAATGGCAACATTAGAAGCTCTTGTTGTGGGAGAGATTTGTGAAGAGAATAATACAATTGAAATCAGTGAAAGAGAAAAACAAAGAAGAAAAAGAGAAAATGAAAGAAGGATTAGTGAAATGAGGCAAAAGGAAAGAGAAGAAATAAGAATGGCTACTGACGTGATAGAAAAGAATTAAGAAAAGATGAAAGAAAGGAAAATGAAAAGAAAGAGAAGGAGAAAAGAGAAAAGTTGGAAAAAGAGAGGTTAGAAAAAGAAAGACTTGAAAATGAAAGAAAAGAAAGGCTAGAAAATGATAGGTTGGAGAGAGAAAGACTTGAAAATGAAAGAAAAGAAAAAGAAAGGTTAGAAAATGAAAAGTTGGAGAGAGAGAGAGAAGAAAAAGAAAAACTAGATAATGAAAGAAAAGAAAGGCTAGAAAAGGAAAGACTTGAAAATGAAAGAAAAGAAAGGCTAGAAAATGATAGGTTGGAGAGAGAAAGACTTGAAAATGAAAGAAAAGAAAAAGAAAGGCTAGAAAATGAAAAGTTGGACAGAGAAAGAAAAGAAAAAGAAGAAAAAGAAAGAATAGAAAATGAAAAGTTGGAGAGAGAAAGAGAAGAAAAAGAAAAACTAGATAATGAAAGAAAAGAGAATGAAAGAAAAGGCTAGAAAATGAAAGAAGAGAAAAAGAAGAAAAAGAAAGGCTAGATAATGAACAAAAAGAGAAGGAGAAAAGAGAAAAATTGGAGAGAGAAAGAAAAGAGAAAAGTATGACAAAGAAAAGAGTAGAAAAAACAGTTGAAAATAAGGAAACAGAAAAAAAACAGAAAAAAAACAGAAAAAGAAATGAAGAAGAAACTCGAGGAAATTAAACACCAAGAAATAATAATTTTGAATGTAGGAGGTATAAAATATTCTACAACAAGAGGAACGGTATGTGCGGAAGAAAGCTTGCTGAAAAATATCGCATTACAGATTGATAATGAAGAAATATATATTGATCGGGACAGTAACAATTTCAGAACAGTTCTTCAGCATCTCAGATATAGCCGACAAGGTGAACTTACACCAGCTTCTCTCTTACCGAACAGTAAAATAGAACTGAAAGAACTTATTCTTGAATGTAAATATTATGGCCTACTCAAATTGTTGAAAATAGCTACAGAGAAAAGAGAAAAACTAATCGGACTATTTTGAAGTTAATAAAACATAAGTCATTTCATCCACAAGTAACAGAAGTAAATATCAGAAATTGAATTAAATAAAAAGAAATGTCATGTTAATACATGTAAACACCAAAGAAAATATCAGAAAATGAATTATAATTATACAGATATGTCATGTGTTCTTCACATGTAATTTCGCGTGGAATATATATATGAAAATGTACCCAAGATACAGAAGAAGAACAGATGAAGATTGTAATTAATTATTAAGTATATAACTTAAATATCATTAGTTTAAAATTATATGTATACAATACCTTAATTTTTCCTCAATTGATGTGTAAGATTTTTCCTCTTTATTGCTTAAAAGTCACATTTCATTTGTACCTATAGAAGTAAAATTTTTCATTGATGTTTTTTAAACAATTAAAACAAATTGTAAATTTTCATTAGCATAGTTTACATAGTAAGTATTCAGTTATTGTATTAAATTGTTATTGCATAAGATAATAGCAAATATTATTGACAGGAAATACCTTAAATAATAAATAACCGTTAAGGAAATTTCATACATTTATGATTAAATAAATTTTAACATACTACATGTATGTGTAGTACTTTCTTAATTAAGCAAGAACACAAATTTTGTGTTCCTTTAAAACACAAGTGTCTTATGGTATGACTGATAGGTATGTAATTGAATGTAGTTAATTGTTATATGCTCTGTTGAGATTATTATACATGTATGGCTTAATGAAATATTTATTAACTAACTTAACTAAGAGAACATTAGGGCAATGATGTAGTCTATGGTATGACTGATAGTTAGATAGTTATAAAATTAAATGTCACATGTTGTTAAATGTTATGCTCTGATGAAATTATTATATTGCTTAGTGAAATGTTTATTCACTAAGAAGACATTTATGGCATTTATGTAAAATTGGACTAAATCATAAAGTTTAGAATTTAGTAAATTTGCTAAACTTTTCATTATTACATGAACTTAATCAAGTTAATGTTGAAGTTATAAATTGTTACATGTGTTAATCATTTATTTATGCAGTTATGAAGATGCCATATGTGAGACCTAATGAATGTGTACATATTAGTCCAATATATTAGACGTTACAGGCTTGTTATAGTTTATGTCGGTCAAGCCTGACGTCTAATAGTTATTGCTCAAAAACGCATAGCATCATAAAAAATTCAAAAAATGTCTATTGTCTTGCCTTTCAAGCCTTATTCAAAAGTTTATCTACTTTTCTTTCAATTTCAAGCTCAATCATTAACAAAAACTCTAAAACAATGTACTTACATGTACCAACTTAAAATAAAATATAAACATCAATCTATTATTGTCTATTAGCCATACTGGTTAAGTAAAGCCCTTTACAGATTGATTCCAAATTTTTTGAACGGAAAAATATATTCGAACACACTGACGGTGCATGGGCAATTATTTCGTTAAAAAAATATTTCCGTTAGATTGTTCTGACTCAATTAAACGCTTGCATTTGAATTAGCCAATCAGATTTCGCGCACTTTACGGCCGCCATTTGTTTATCGGCTGTAAAAGGAATTGAAATACATGAGAGGATTTAATCATGATTTTTCAGATGTGACAGTTTAATTATTTTGACAAAAGGTATTTATTTTTTAGTTTTGTTCATAAATAGGTCAAAAAATATGTAAATACACGCTGTCTTCATTGTTTTTCGTTCCGCCCGATTTTCTGGCGGAACATGCTATGGGTTTTTGAGCAATTTCGATATGACGTTGCTTTGCCCAGAAGCAAAACTATCTCAAAGCGACGTCATATTTATAGGACTACCTTAACTTGAACCCATTTATAGAACTTTACCCAATCTGGTATTTGACCCAATCTGGAACTTGACCGGATTCTGACTTGACCCAATCTGGTAAATCTATAATTAACTATATACTTGGAACTCGGATATTATATTATAGTACTAGATCTACATATATGTTTCTCTAATACGCTTATAGTTGTTTACTATAGAACAATCTGGTTAAAGCCAGATTAACTAATATTGTACGTATGTTAATATTTCATGAATAAACTATCATGAACCAATAATAAAATCATAGATTGAACTGGAACATGTCTTATTTATCTCTCAGTAGGTAGAACCAAATCAAATTCCCACACATGTTACTTTCCCCTAATTATCGCCTGGCATAATCCTGACTAGCTTTAAGCTAACACCCTTTTTTCACTTTTATGGGGGCGTAACAATATGTCACTGGTCAACACAGGTCGGGTTTGAATTTGGCCATGGTTCGATGATATTTGACAGAGTTATCTCTCTTAATGAACTTTGAATAAAAAATCAAATGAACACAATAAAATCAAATCTTACATATGGGTACAGCAAAAGATTACACAGTTTAAGTTTGAATTGTCAAAGTGTTTGTTTTTAGTCAAATATCCCTTTTGCTTTGAAAAATAGAAATTGTCAGTTTCCATACCTTATCTCCCAAACAATTGTATTATTTGAGAATTATTTGTTGTCTGTAAAAATCCTCAAATAATTTTTCTTCCTTTTAAATAGATATATGACTAACAAATCCAAATGGAATCCCTCGTGAAATACACAACTTTAAAAAATGGAGGCTGCTTTCATTACAAGCTTGATCTAATATATAACATTCTGCCTTAATTACCTGAAATACGTAATGCTTGGTGTGACTTTTTCTACTACTGGAATTGTTTGTTTTTTACAAGAAATCATTCATATTTTTCAAACAAAAAATAATAAAAAAATTTTATCATCATTTAACGTTGATTTCTTCACTTATCATTTAGCTCTAGACATCATGTTTTTATGAAAATAAATTTTTACCTAAAATTTAGGGCCACCGGTGGGGAAAAGAGATTTTGATGTTCAAGTAAATTTTGAGGAAATTTCATTCAAAATGGTATTTGAAAATAAAATAAAAATAAAGTTTGTTTGTTATGTTATGATGTTATTTTATTTCATTTCGTAAACTTAAAAAACGCTAAGCTCACTCGATGAAATAAAATGATATATTACATAAAAAAACAAACAAATGTCCTTTTTATATACACAATTATAAAAAATTCTAGAAACATCATTTTTTTAAAATATTAAGCTTCAGTACCTAAAATAAATTTACAATATAGAATTTCATTAAAGTTTCTATTACATCTTTAAGGTATTGTAATAAGCTTTGAATTCTGTCATATTCAAAATAATTGTTATATAAAGTGTTACTTCATGGCGGTTACAACAAGAGCTGTCCGTAAGACAGCGCGCTCGACTTTTTTATTGCTTGCCAATAAAAAAAGTTTTTGCAGTAAAAGGCAATACAAGAATCTCTGTATTTTTAAAGTGAACAATGGCCATGAGCATTAAGATATTTAGTGAAGAATTATTTTACTGAATTGTGTGATACCCTTGAACACTGCAGCAAAGTTTGAAATGTTTAAGTCAAAAGAGGGCTGGTAAGAAAGAAAAAAAAACTAGTTGTTTGATACCCTTGAATATTACAGCAATGTTTATATGACATAATTTATGGTAAAGTGAACAAGTGGATAGGAATGAATTTTTTTAGATTTTTTAAGTTTTTTAGTGCTTGCCTATAATACAAAACATTGACAGTTAAGGGCCATAATTCAAATAAAATCTTTGACAGAATTACCTTCTCCTGGACATGTTTGGGAATCATGATTGTAAACAAGTATTCCAACTTTCAAATTAATATCTCAAACAGTTCAGTCAAAAAGTGGACTGGTACTAAAAACTTAACCAAGATTCTAAGTCGATAAAAGGCCTTAATTTTTAAAACAAATCCTTGACAGAGTTACCTTCTCTTGCGTACAGATGGGGTAATGATGTGAAATAGCATTAAAAGTTTCAAAGCAATATCTCAAAGGGTTAAGGCAATAAGTGGATTTTACCCATATTCAATGTATTTTCTAAGTCAAAAAGGGGCATAATTCTGTCAAAAACCTTGACAGAGTTATGTCCTCTTGTCTGTTGATGAAGGTCGTGATGGTAAACAAGTATGGTCAGTTTCAAAGCAATACCTCCAATGGTTTTGAAATAAAGTGAGGTGGTACAAAAAACTTAACCAAGCTCAATACACTTTCTAAGTCAAAAAAGGGCCATAATTCTGTCAAAAACCTTGACAGAGTTATGTACTCTTGTCTGTAGATGGAGGTTATGATGGTGAACAAGTATGGTAAGTTTCAAAGCCATACTTGTAATACTTCTGAAATAAAGTGGGGTGGTACGAAAAACTTAACCAAGGTGTGACGCCGACGCCGACGCCGACGCCGGGGCGAGTAGGATAGCTCCCCTTTTCATAGAAAAGTCGAGCTAAAAAGTACATTTGTCGTTGTCAATCTTCATTGTCAACAAAAGTGACTTTGTCGCTAACATTCTATGAATAATTATTGTCCGGAACCATTGAATATACAAATTTTTGGTAAAGTTAAATACAACACTATGTATAACATGCGACTTGGTATTAGAATCTTGAAATCATATATTCCATTGTTTCGACAATTTGGTATTATCCGAACTTCTAGTTAAATTTCATATATAAATATCTTAAATTTAAAAATGTCAAAATTCCATATATACTACTTAACTATTTGCTAAGTACCATAAGTTTGTGCGGGATAATTTTATAAACGCCGCGCGAAAGGTTTTAAATGTTCATTTACTGTTTTATTTCAATTCAACAGAAGGACGAATTTAAACCCTGTAAATGAGTTTTACACTGATTTTGTGCTAAAGAAGAGATTAACCAAAACACGGCTGAAATCTCCTAGATGATATCGAGCTGAAAAGCTAACCTGCAGCTCATTCCACATGTGTTCTATTGGACTTAAGTCAGGTGATTGAGCTAGCCAGTCCTTGCGCTAAATATACTTATTTTCTAAGTAGTCCTGCACCACCCTGACCCTATCTGGCGAGCATTATAGTCCATTATAATGAAATGATCGCCAACTGCATACAACCTAACTTGGTTGTCTAAGATATCGTTTATGTATCGCTGACATGTCAATGTGCCTCTATTTAGCACAACCAAGTATGTTCGTCCATTCCAGCTGATGCCTCCTCACATCATAACCGACCTATTTCTGTAGCGGTCATGTTCAGCTATATTTGCCACCGTGAAACCGTTCACCTCGTCTTCGTCAGATTCTAGCACGCCTTTCTGTGAAGTCTATGCAGAACCTGGACTCATCAGTGACTCCAGTGTTGCATGGTCTATCATGTATGCTCAATGGTCTATTCCCAACGGACCTGGCGATGTCGACACGTCAAGAATTTAACATTTGAAAGGTTTTCTCGACTGCAAATTACCTTTATGCAAATACCAAATATCAAAACATGCAAATACTGAGGTGCATACTTTCCACGCTACCTAGACTAGTTGTAACGGATAAGTAAACACGGATCCTCAAAACAATGTTGACTCAGAATTTTAAAAAAAGTTTTATACTTGAGATAATATA